TATGAATGTTTACATCATTAAATTGCTAATCGTTGAAAAAATATTTATAAGGGTATCAAAATTAAATATAAGGGCATAAGTGTCCAAGAAAATAGTGTAAATCAAGAAAATGGACTTTATGGAATAAAACTATACATACATGGAACTAAATGGGTTAAAAAATTCCTTCATGGACTTCTTAGGTTAAAACACTTCTAAATTGGACTTATCAATAAAAATCCCTTGTTATTTTGTTGATTAGAATATTTGTTACAGGTTAAATGACTTATAAATAATTTTAATTTAAGAGTTTTGTATTAGACTGTTTAGTATGATTTTATTTAAGGAGCTTTTTTAATAATTCACTTTTTAAGATCTTTATTCCATCTAATTTATATTCTTTTTGACTATTTCATTAGGTCCTATTTAAGATAAGAAGACCAAAATACCTTTTTCATCTACTTATATTCCATTTAGTTCACATTATTTTCTTAGGAAAATGATTGGTAGCTCGAAAAAAGTGACCCAATTTTGGCTCGAATCGCAAAAACGTTTTGCGATTCTTTTTTTTTTTTCTTCCTTTTCTTTCTTTCTTTTCTTCTTCTTCTTCTTCGTTGAACACAGGAGAAGAACAGAGGGAAGAAGGAGGAGAGAGGGAGAAAGAGAGAGGAGAGGAGAGAAGGGCCCTTCCTATGCCTCCGCCGCCGCCGATCGTTGCAACATCTCCGATCGTCGCAGCCCCGCGTAGCCCCACCTCCTCTAGCCCGATTTTGATGGCCCCTTCCCCTCCAGTCCTCCTCATTCCTCCTTCTTCTTCTCTTCTTATTCTTCTCCGAATTCGAGCCAAATTCGAGCCTCCAAATTCGAGCTACGAATCAGAGTCGATTTTCTTATGTTTCAATAAGTCCTATGGGTGATATAATTATCAAAATACCCCTAATGTGAATGTTCACACCGTCAATGTGAATGATCATATCGTCAATGTGTAGGGGCCCGGCCCATGTCGATCCTCGTGGGTGCCCGAAAAAGTTCGAGTCGGGCCGATGTGAATATTTATATTAACATGCTAACATTCACATTAATAGGAGTGTAAAATTGGCCCGCGTCCCGTAGCGACGCGAAACCCGCCCACGACCCATGGCGCGGCTCGGGGCGAGCCCGGGGCGGCTCGTTGACAATGTGAATATTCACATTGACATGTTAACATTTACATTGATAAGAGTATAAAATTGGCCCCAGCCCACGGGCAGCCAGAAGCCCGCCCGCGAACCCGGACGGGCCCGACCTGGCCCGGCCCATTGACAATGTGAATATTCACATTGACATGTTAACATTCACATTGACAGGAGTTTAAAATTAGCCCACGCGTCGTGGCTGTCCGAAACCCGCCCGCGACCCGTGGGCGGCCCCGGTCGGGCCTAGCCCGGCCTGTTGACAATGTGAATATTCACATTGACATGTTAACATTCACATTAATAAGAGTATAAAATTGGCCCGGCCCGTTGACAATGTGAATATTCACATTGACATGTTAACATTCACATTAATAGGAGTGTAAAATTGGCCCTCGTCCCGTGGCAGCGCGAAACCCGCCCACGGCCCACGGGCGGCCCGGGGCGGCCCGTTGACAATGTGAATATTCACATTGACATGTTAACATTCACATTGATAAGAGTATAAAATTGGCTCGCGGCCCATGGGTAGCCAAAAGCCCCCCCGCGGACCGGGGCGGGCCCGGCCCGACCCGTTGACAATGTGAATATTCACATTGACATGTTAATATTCACATTGATAGGAGTTTAAAATTAGCCCGCGCCTCGTAGCTACCCGAAACCCGTCCACGACCCGTGGGCGGCCCGGGGCGTGCCCGGTCCGGCCTATTGACAATGTGAATATTCACATTGACATGTTAACATTCACATTGATAAGAGTGTAAAATTGGCCCGCACCCTGTAGGCAACCCGAAGCCCGACCGCAGCCCGAGGCGGGCTTGGCCCGACCCGTGACAATGTGAATATTCGCATTGATATGTTAACATTAACATTGATAGGAGTGTAAAATTTGCCCGCTGCTCGAAGCTTGCCCGCGGCCCGAGGTAGGCCCGGCCCGGCCCGTTGACAATGTGAATATTCACATTGACATGTTAACATGCACATTGATAGGAATATAGAATTGGCCCGCAGCCCGTGGGCTGTCCAAAGTCCGCCCACGGCCTGGGACAAGCTTGTTTAGGTCCAAGCCCGAGCATGTCCGAGACCCTAAGCTAGGGCCTAGGCCATCACTTTGAAGCCCGGCCCGGCCCGGCCCATCAGCCCGCTTAAGGCCCATTCAAGGCTCGGTCCGAGGCCCAACTCGCCCGAGGCGCAATGTCTTTTTTTGTGGAAAATAATAAAATTTTGGTAGAAAAAATTAAAAAAAATTTAAAAAAAATGGCCAGGCCCGTCCAAGCCCGACCTAAGCTCGAGGCTAGGCCCATGCCTACCGATCCGACCCGAGGCTCGATCCATCGGCCCGTCCAAAGCCCGAATACCCTTGTGCCAGGGCTAGGGCCTGGGCCTAATTTTTTGGCCCGTGGGCCGGGCCGGGCCGGCCCGAATTTTTTCGGACACCCACGAGGCTCGATATGGGCCGACCCGGGCATCTACGCATTGATGATATGAACATTCACATTGACGATGTGAACATTCACATTATGGGTATTTTGGTAATTATGTCTCCCATAAGACTTATTGAAACATAAGAAAATAATGTGGACTAAATAGAATATAAGTAGATGAAAATGATATTTTGGTTTTCTTACCTCAAATAGGACTTAATGGAATAGTCAAAAAGAACGTAGGCTGCCCGAAGCCGCCCGCGGCCCGGGAAAGGCTCGTTTAGGCCCAGGCTCGAACCTTGTTCGAGACCCTAGGCTAGGGCCTGGGCCATTACTTTGAAGCCCGGCCCGGCCCATCAGCCTGGTTAAGGCCCATTCAAGGCTCGGTCCGAGGCCCGGCCTGTGCCGAGGCCTAGTGTTTTTTTTTGTGAAAAATAATAAAATTTTGGTAGAAAAAATTAAAAAGAATTAAAAAAAATGGCCAGGCCTACCCAAGCCCGACCCAAGCCTGAGGCTAGGCCCATGCCCATCGGCCCGACCCGAGGCTTGACCCACCGGCTCGGACCCGGACCCAAATGAGCCTGCCCTAGGCCATAGGCAGGCTTCGGGCTGCCCACGGGCCGCGGGCCAATTCTACATTCCTATCAATGTGCATGTTAACATGTCAGTGTGAATATTCACATTGTCAACGGGCTAAGCCGGGCCTACCCCGGGCCGCGGGCAAGCTTCGGGCAGCGGGCAAATTTTACACTCCTATCAATGTTAATGTTAACATGTCAATGTGAATATTCACAATGTCACGGGTCGAGCTAAGCCCGCCTCGGGCTACGGTCGGGCTTCGAGCCGTCCACAGGCTACGGGCCAATTTTACACTTTTATCAATGTGAATGTTAACATGTCAATATGAATATTCACATTGTCAACGGGCTGGGTCGGGCCCGCCCTAGGCCGCTGGCCAATTTTATACTCTTATCAATATGAATGTTAACATGTCAATGTGAATATTCACATTGTTAACAGGCCGGGCCGGGGCCACGCGGGGCCGCCCACGGGTCGTGGGTGGGTTTCGGGCAGTCACGGGGCGCGGGCTAATTTTACACTCCTATCAATGTGAATGTTAACATGTCAATGTGAATATTCACATTGTCAACGGGCCGCAGGTGAACTTTTGGCCGCCCATAGGCCGCGGGCCAATTTTATACTCTTATCAATGCGAATGTTAACATGTCAATGTGAATATTCACATTGTCAACGGGCCGGGCCAGGGCCGCCCATGGGTCGCAGGCGGGTTTCGCGCCGCCACAGGACGCTGGCCAATTTTACACTCCTATTAATGTGAATGTTAACATATCAATGTGAATATTCACATTGTCAACAGGCCGAGATCACCCCGGCTCGCGGGCGGGTTTTGGGCCGCCCATGGGTCAATTTTACATTCCTACTAATGTGAATTTTAAAATATGAATGTTCACATCATAAAATTCTAACCGTTCAAAAAATATTTATAAGGATATCAAAATTAAATATAAGGGTATAAGTGTCCAAGAAAATAGAGTAAATCAATAAAAATGACTTTATGGGATAAAATTATATATACATGGGACTAAATAGGTTAAAAAATTCCTTTATAGACTTTTTGGGTTGAAGCACTTCTAAATGGGATTTATCAATAATTTTTTCTTTTATTTATAATTTATTACTTTAATAAATTTAAAAAATTAATTTTCTGATAATTAACAGAGATATCATAATTTTTATTTTAAAATTTTTAATTTTTAATTTATAATAAATTATACCAAAAATAGACCTTTAGATTACGTAGGCACGCCGCTTATCTGATCTGACTATACATGTTGAATTTCAAAAACATCAATATAGGGAAACACTCATCCAATCACATGCATTTAAATATTTAATCTACTTTTTTTTTTTTAATACCGACATCCCAAAAACATCAATTTTAATTGTCAATCAAACCCAAATTATAGGGGAAAAAATAGGTTCCCAAAAACAGGGAATACATAAACTAAAAAAACCTAAAAGATAAGTGCCAAATATGCACTTTTTATTGCTTTTACGGCCTAAAATCCCCATGCTCATATTACAAAATCATACGCAATAGCAAAAAAATATGATTAGTAACAATCCCATGTTTTTCTCTCTCAGGAGAGAGAGAGAGAATAAGAATGATTGTAGAAATAGTTAGGTAAAGTGAGTGTTGTGTGATTTGGGTTTTGGAAATCTTGGAGGATGTCAGGTGGAGGTGGTGGTGGTGGTGGTGGTGGTGGTGGTGGGGGGTGTAGCATAGTATGGTTCAGGAGAGATCTAAGGGTAGAAGATAGCCCAGCACTGGCTGCAGGAGTGAGAGCAGGGGCAGTGGTTGCAGTGTTCATATGGGCACCTGAGGAAGAAGGGTACTACTACCCTGGAAGGGTTTCAAGGTGGTGGCTCAAGCACAGTTTGGCTCTCTTTGATTCCTCTCTCAGAAACCTTGGTACCTCTCTTATCACCAAGAGATCTACTGATACTGTCTCTACTCTCCTAGAGATTGTCAAATCTACTGGTGCTACTCAGCTCTTCTTCAACCACTTATATGGTCAGTCTCAATTCCCCCTTTGGATCATCCATCTCCTCAATCAGGAAAATTAGCCTTTCATTAACCCCTTTGTATCTTTTTTCTCTCATCACCTCCCAACATTTTGGGCTTTTGTTTAGTTACTTCAATTCAATTTTCTTGGTCTTCTTTGCCTGGAAATCTGATGTCTTAGGTTTGGCAATTGGGCTAAAAGTTAACTTTTTGATTTTTTAATTTTTTTAAAATTATATCTTCTTCTTTTTTTTATTTTTTTTTTATTTTTATTTTTTTTATACATGTTTTTTTTTTCAAAAAAAAAAAAAACTTTTAACTAACTTTTCAAGATAATATATATGTACGTATGTATAATGTTGTTTTTCCATTTAGTTAATTCCAATATTGTTGCTTATGGTGCCTCTTCTGTGGAATGGAGTAGTATCTTGAATTCTTAATAATAATTAATTTTATCATTACTGTTCTCCCTTCCTCTTTTTTTTTTTTTTTTTGTGTGTGTTTTTTTTTTTTTTTGTACTTTAATATTTAAGCAGTTTGACCCAAGAAATATGTTCAGGCAACAATCTCAGAACCTAGCAACTCAGCCAAAGTATCTATTTGCATCCATAATTTTAGGACTAACAGTTGATGGGAATCATAAGAAAAATCAGATCCCATAATAAACTGACAATTGCTAAATGAACTTTTTAGGGACAAAGTAAATGAAAACAACCCGTAATGAGTGTTTTACTTCATTAGACATAAAACTATAATATTTCAGAGGTCTAGGAGCATACTACTGAATTTTTAGCTTTCCCAGCAAGTTTTTAATGGTTGGTAATTCTACTGAAGAAACAATAATTGAAAGGCTCATAAGATCCCCAACAAGAACTGGATTTCCTAAGGATGCATGAGCATTAGGGACTGTATGCACAGCTGTCCAATGCAAAGGAGATGATGACACACAAAGTTTACAGGGGATAGTACGAAAAACTAGCAGACCAACTATTAACAATGCATACATATTCCTTATGGATTGTTAAATGATTAAATAAGGACGAACTATATTTTTTTAATAGTATTAATAAACATGATATCCTCCTTGGTTACTACAACAAGGATAATGTCTAAAACAATGATATCCTCCTTGGTTACTATTTTTTTTATTTTTATTTTTGCCTTGTGGAGGTTTTAGTGGGTGGGGAAAAGAGAGTTTGCTAATCCCTAAATCAGATTTTTTTTTCCTGTTGTACCACTACAAATATTGTAATGAAGAGCGGGAGTTGGTTATTGGGAGATTGGCAGCATAATTGAAACATTTCAAAGTCAGGATAATTGGTTTTGTTTCAGTTATTGTCAATTTTCTAGTTTTGCATTTTTATTTTTCTCACTATTTGGTTTTCTATACTTCTGATTCTTCTTGTATGTTTTTCTCTCCATATTCCAACTTTTTTAAAGTAACATGTGGCTATATGGTGGTTAAAAATAAAATAAAATAAAAATTGGTGGATTTGGTTGACACAGTAACTATTTGATGTTGTTTAGTGGGAATAAAAGCTTTCTTTTATATGGTAACAGCTACAAACATACAACAGAAATTCAAAATAATCCTGCTAATGAGTTAATAGATTTCAGGATGGAAAAATGTGTAGTTATGTGTAATCTAGCGTCTATATGTTTACTTATATAAGGTACTTCAACCCATTACTTAATGATTTTTCGAATAACTGCTCTCCCTCATTTTGCTTACACAATTTGCACTGACTTGCATTGCTCACATCCTTTCAGGTGATGTTTTTAGATGCCCTTCAGACACACTAGTATTCGAGGATGAATCAGAGAAAGGAAGCAATGCACTTCTTGCGCGAGCATGGTCACCTGGGTGGAGCAATGCCAACAAGGCATTAACTACCTTCATTAACGGACCACTTATTGAGTACTCCATGAACCGTAGAAAGGCTGATAGTGCTACAACCTCATTTCTCTCTCCCCATTTACATTTTGGGGAAGTGAGTGTGCGGAAAGTTTTCCATCTTGTACGCATTAAACAAGTCCTGTGGGCTAATGAAGGGAACAAAGCTGGTGAAGAGAGTGTCAATTTGTTCCTCAAGTCTATTGGACTGAGGGAATATTCAAGATATATGAGTTTTAACCACCCTTACAGCCATGAAAGGCCTCTTCTCGGGCACCTTAAGTTTTTCCCTTGGGTCATGGATGAGGGGTATTTTAAGGCATGGAGACAAGGCAGAACGGGTTATCCATTGGTTGACGCTGGCATGAGAGAGTTGTGGGCTACTGGTTGGCTACATGATCGAATACGAGTTGTGGTGTCTAGTTTCTTTGTGAAGGTTCTACAGCTTCCTTGGCGATGGGGGATGAAGTATTTCTGGGATACCTTATTAGATGCAGATCTCGAGAGTGATGCTCTTGGTTGGCAGTATATATCTGGCACTCTCCCTGACAGTCGTGAGTTTGATTGTATAGATAATCCACAGGTACATTTTTTGTTGGTTTATCTTTAACTAAATTGGTTAAATTTATGCTTGGGTCTGTGACTCTGTTTCTTTTAGATGTGGATTCTCTCGCTTTCACATTCAGGTAGATGATTCAAGTGAATGCTTTGTTTCAGCATCAAAGTTTTGCTCATGTGCTGATGTACAGGATTCTCCTACAAATTTTGTGTGGACCCTAAAACCTTCTTTCCATGTATGTTTTAGAAAGAATGGTGAATAGAAAGTCTTAACAAATTGGAAGTTTTAGGCTTCCGGTTTGTAAAATTTAAAAATCTTAAGGTGGGTTTCATATGTATGAATCAACATTATTTTGATTTTAATCATTTGGTCCCTATGTTATTTTCTTTAAACTTGCCCCAATACTCCTATGTTTCATGTGTATCAAAGCAATAGACACGTATGTCCTCCAAATGTCCAAAGTGTGTCCAATTATAAAAAGATTTAAAAAAATTAATGAGACACATTTGGATGGATATGTGACACAGATATGACACCTTTGAAGTTTCCAAGCTTCTTAGTTGACAAAAATTTTCAGCTGAGGGAAGTTTCTTGATTTGTTTTTTGCAGTTTGAGGGCTACAAATTTGACCCAAATGGAGAATACGTCCGTCGGTGGCTACCTGAACTTGCTAGACTGCCTACGGAATGGATACACCACCCCTGGAATGCCCCAGAATCTGTACTCCAAGCTGCTGGAATCGAGCTTGGATCCAACTACCCTAGTCCCATTGTAGAAATAGATGCAGCAAAAGCCAGGCTGCAAGAAGCCCTCTCCGAGATGTGGCAACAGGAAGCAGATTCAAGAGCTGCATTCGAGAATGGAACTGACGAAGGGCTTGGAGACTCCGAGTCAATGCTCATTGCATTCCCAACTGACATACAAATGGACTTGGATCACGAACCGGAAAGGAACAACAACCCTACTACAGTTCGTCGTTATGAGGATCAGATGGTCCCGAGCATGACTTCTTCTTTGTTGAGGGTTGAAGAGGAAGAAACTTCTTTGGATCTCCAAAATCCTGTTGCAGACAGTAGAGCAGAAGTCCCAAGAAATGTTAATGTGAATCAAGAACCAAGGAGAGAAGCAATAAACCAAGGCAATGTGCAGATGGTCCAAAGAAATGCAACTATGACACAAGTTAATGTTTTGACAGGGCTGCAAAATGCTGAAGATTCAACAGCAGAATCATCGGGTAGTAGTATTAGGAGGGAAAGGGATGGAGATGTAGTTCCTGTATGGTCTCCTTCAACTTCTAGTTACTCGGAGCAGTTCGTGGGTGAAGAGAATGGCATTGGAACTAGTTCATCATACTTGCAGAGGCATCCACATTCTCATCAACTATTGAATTGGAGACAGCTTTCGCAAACTGGGTAAGCAAACAATGACTCTCGAAGCATTAAGTTGGGCTGGGAATAATGATTTTTAACCTTGTTGGACATGATTGCAATCACTGCCTCTGTTTTTTCACACACACACACAAAAAACAAAAAGAAACAAAAAAGACTCTTGTTTTAAGTAATTTTATTGCAAGTTCTTCTTGCCTTATTTTTTGGAGGTTGAATTTAGAGAAATTTTTTACTTGTTAGGTTACTATCTATGGTCATAGAAAAAGAAGAAAACCAGCAAAAACAAATAAGACAACTAGGAAAAGTGATTACTGTTTTTTTTTTTTTTTTTTTTTCTTGGTTTTTGTTGAACTATTTCCAAAAATTGTTCTCAGTTGAATTTTGTGAAAAACAGCCTACTTTTATAGCACCAAAATTCAATCAAAAAAATAAAAATAAAAATAAAAATTATTTTTACACAAAATGAAAAGCATGGTGTTTTCAAAATTTTCATTGTTTGTGTTTCCAAAAACACGAAAAACCAAAAAAAAGAAAACAATACCAAACTAAATGACCCTCTCTGGATATGTAATGATGTTATTGAATTTCTAATGTTCATGTGTACGTGCGCATCTGTGTGTGTATACAAATCCCTCATGGTGTATTTGGTTGAGAGATTTGGAAGGAATTTGGAAAAAAAAAAAAAATGTGTGAAATTAGGTAAAATATAAGTATATTTTATTCATATTTTACTTACTTTTTCATTTTCCTTTCCAAATCATTTCTCAAATCTTCCAACCAAACCCAATGTCAAAAAGTACTAAACTTTTTTGTTTGCTAACAGGTGAAAGATTTCCACATTGTAAGACAAGTTTGGAGGTGGATAACAATGTAATCTAATCCTGAGTAGATTGGCATTGTGATCAACACCCTAACTACATCTTTATCCATCCTAAACAGTAAATTGAAAGTAGATTGGGATTGTCGTTAGTGTTTGCTGTATATGACATTTCGAATTGGTGCAGCCTCATCTCTATCCTCTCTTTTTGTATCAAGTTGTACCATATTTGTAGCTCTTCTATATAGTAAAATGTTGTTTTCATGAGGGGATTGATGAAGAGTCACACTAGGGATATGTGATACTCCAATAAACCCAAGTTTGTGCTTTTTCTTTTTGTTAAGTAGACAAGAATGTTGTTGCAACCATGTTCATATAATATTCTCTTTCTTTTTCACCCTTGCACATAATCGCCGGATGCATAGCTTTAATGAAGTTTGTCCTATTGGGCTATACTGCTTTGAATCATATTTTTTTTCCTGTTTCAGTAAGCTACAAACATGTATATATTAATGGTAAAGTGGTGATCAGGGTAGGGATGATAACACATGTTAGTGTGCCTCGTTTGTTAATATTTTCATTTTTTTCAACTTTATTTTTTTGCTTTATGGAAAACTGAAAGCAAAAGCTTGTTTAGGTGCCGTTTGGTAACACTTACGTTTTTAATTTTCTGTTTATATTTACAAAAATTTTAAAAACTCAAATAAAAACTTGTTTGGTAAAATTTTTGATTTATAAATCAATGGTCTCAGTTTATAAATTTCGCTAAAAAATGAAAACATAAAAAATGTGTTTTCATATTGAGTTTTCAGTTTTTTTTTTTTTATCACCCAATACTAGCCACCACCCTCTACCATTTTCCACCACCGTCTTCTGCCACCCCCCACGAGAGAGAGAGGGGAAAAAAAAAAATTGATTCCAAAATTTTTAAATTTTTTGAAAACAACAAAAGAACACTGTAGTAGCTCTTAGAACATCTGGATCAGCCTCAACAAATTTTGAATCAAATTATAACTTAAATTCTACTTTTGTTATTTTAGCTTGTCACCTTACTCACTGTATCACTCTCTCTATTCTAACTTAATTTTATTAAAATATTAAATTTTTTATTGTATTTATTATTCTTTATTTTTTTTATTAAATTGATGAGATGTCACTCAAACAATTCTTAAAAAATGTAAAAAAAAAAAAAATGTCGTTGACCAGTCGACTGGTTAAGCTAATTTTGGGCGTTTTTCTTCTTCTGTTACAAGCACTCACAGAACAACCGGGTGGACGACCGGTTTAAAGATTTTGGCTTAGTTTTGTTTCAGAAAATATAATAAAAAATCATGTAGCTAATGAACAGTGGCTCAACAAAGTTGTTGAAGTACTGTAGCAAATTTAATAAAAAGTTAATTTAGAAAAAATTGTTGAGATTGATGGAAAACAAATTTGATGTTGATGCTCTCTACAATAACTTTAGAGAGTTTGATGTGGATACTCTTATCAGGCGAGCCGGGCTGAACTGTACTACAGCTGCAGTGTACCTAACACTTTCACCAACTATTCGATTCTAACATTATGCGGCTGTAGGTGTACCCTCAAACAAGTGAGCTGGGCTGGGCTGGGCTGAGAGGACTGACAGATCACTGGACCGGTATACCCATCCCTACTTGTTTCTTTTGATAACATCTAAAAAAAATAATTTATTGAATTATTAATTTATTTGAGTTACTTTATCTCTCTTCTTTTTTTTTCTTTTTTTTTTATTTTAACGTCTCTTTAAAAGATTGTTCTTGTCAACACGTCTTTGCTTAAACAATTTTTTATGTAATTATCACTACCACTTTATTGAATAGGAGATGAATTTTATATTATAATTGATTATTATTTTCAAAATTTTATTCATAATGGTACAATTAATAACAATAAACAACATAGTTAATTTGACATATGTGCAAAAAAAATTTAAATATGGTAAAGAAAATAAAAATGGACTACAAAGTATATTTGCATGAAATTTATACCCTAATTTGAAAAACTCACATTATTTTTTAAAAATTAGGTGTAGTAATTTTATTTTTTTTAGTACACTACCACTCGTGATTGGAATTGCTCTGGCCCTCTGCCCACATCTGTATAGAGGCGTGAGTCTCACTCTCATTATCAATAATTAATAGTGTAATGTATAAATCATTTGAAGTAACATTTTAAAAATCATATAAATTCCATCTAAAGCTCCAAAAACTAAATAAAGCAAATAATCTTGAGAGAATGGTGTTTTAGTTGTGAATAACTTAAAAATAATTATAAAAATAAAAATAAAAAGAAAAGAAAGTGTAAATGGGGTGTATGCTCTAATACAAGGTTACCAATTTCACTTAGGGTTTGTTTGGAAAGTGGGTTAGATTTTTAGGTCTCATTTGGCAAGTGACTGTTTTAGTCAAAAAATTTAAAAGTTATTAAAAAAATCAAAAAGTCAACAACTCATACAAAAAAGTCAAAGATTTCATTTTCTCTCTATTTTTTGCACATCTTTTCGTAAGAAGCCAAAAAGTCATTCCAAACATACTAATTTTTATTATATCACATTTTAACCAAAAAGCCAAAATGTTAAAAAGCATGTTAGTTTTTTTCACCTGGGGCTTAAAAGCCTCGTTTTGAAAGAATTTTTTGACTTTTTGTGAGAGAAAAAATATAATAATTATGTGTTGAATGTAATGTTTTATCTTATTAAATTAAAAAAATTATTTTATTTTTTTATAATTATTTTAACCAAAAAATCTCAAACCTCAACTTCCCAAACGAGCTCTTATACAGTCCATTTACACTTTTAAAATTGGTTTAAAAAATTTCCATTTAAAACACAATTCTCACATGGAGGCCCACTTTTCTTAATGCAATCAAAGTCAAAAGGCCAATTAGAGGGAGGACTAGGCCTCGGTAGTGGTGTGGGGTTCCTTCAAAGTTCTATCTTCCCTAAGTCCCTCCCAATGGGTCAACAGTAATGCTACAATTTCATACGTAAAATTTTAAAAATTATTCAGAATATTATATCTATGACTTAAATTTATTTCTGTGAGGATATATTTTTTGAATATCAACACGTGGCTAAGGTGACGCCGACGTGTCAGCCGAGGTGCCACGTGTCCTGGTCATGATGCCGAAGTAATCTCGGTTAGGCCGAGATTATCTACGAGAATATCAGAATCCAGGATAAGCGGATAAGGGACAAGAGTCCTAGAAT